TCAAGAAACTCTGCAAGCCCTATTGGCATTAATGAATAATAATCCAGACATTTTTAATAATGCTAGGGATCAAACTTCATATTTAGAAATTCCCAAAGATGAGTTATTATTTTTACCAGCAGAAAGGCCTATTCATCCCAAGCCTATAGTAAATATACTGATTCTTAGAAAAAAGTCAACTGGAATGAAAACAACTGACTTAATTGATCTTGAAGAAGGAGAGAGTACTAAAGATCCAGATGTAGAAATAGAAGAAGTTCATGAAGATCATGAAGGTCAAGAATTACAAGACCCAATTACTCAAAATCAAGACCAAGACCAAGACGAATCCGCCGAACTACTTGAGGTAAAGAAGGTTGAACCGCCTAAAGTAAATAATAAGAAAGAAGATGTAAAAGTGGGTCAAAAGAAGGTTCCTGTTATTTGACAAAGGAATATTGTGGAGGATGATTTACCTCAAATCTCTTCTTTGGTCATACTATATTCGATAGTAGCCGATATAAGGGATAAACCTGCCAATATAACTATCGGGCAATTGTTATGAGTTATATCATCCATTAGACAAGAATTATCATGATCTTTACAAAAAAAAAGAGTTGTACGTCGTAAAAAGGCTCAAGCCAATGTTAATATACAACCTACCTTAAAATTAACGGCTTTATATTGTGACGCTAAGGTTTACGACCAAGTAATTCCATTAATTGTCGATAGCGGGTCTTCTGGAAGTGTTGTTACTTCCCATTTATTGAATGATCTTGGTATAAGAATTGAACAGCCATTAGTAGTAAATATGGTCAACATCCATGGAGAGAGCAAGCATGCTATTGGAGAAATTTCTGATTTTTCATTCAATATCGGTGGTGTTGAAATCCTGATCAATGTAGTTGTAACTAATGCTGGTTCATATTGTGCTATTGTAGGAAATGACTGGTTAGCTAAGGTTAAGGCAGCCATTGATTGGAACAGATCTGAGATAACTTTGGTCTAGGATGATAAAGAAATTGTTGTTCCAGTTGAGTTTTAAAAATTAGCCAAGGTGCCGTTAGACAAGGAACGAGTTGTAAGAATAAGAGACCTTGGAACCGATGATAATGATGAAGTTGAAGAAGAAGATGAAGAAGTCAAAGATGAAGAATTAGAAGAGCAACTGTATGCAATCTTGAAATTTAACGATGAAAAAGGGAATGTTCAAAAAAGGCTAGACTCAGAATAGAATGAAATTATAATAGAAGAAAGAGATATTAGATGAACGAATGAAGAAATAATATTATACGATAAAGGACCTGTTGCAAGTCTTATTTCAGCGCAAGAGGAAGACAACCGATCTATATCAGATCTATTTGATTATTACTATGAAAAAAGAAGCTGCTCCAATATTAAATATAATATAGGCGAAATAGAAGACGACCAAAGAAAGCAGTTGTTGGAGTTACTTAAAGAAAATTCTGATCTTTGTGCTCAAGATATCTCTGAGTTGGGCCAGACTGATATAATTCGGCATTGTATTCCTACCCAAGACGTATGGCTGATTCATCATCATATCGATATTCTTCTGCAGAAAAGTGATTTCTCAAGGAAGAAATTAATAGTATATTAGATGAGCAGATTATTCAACTATCTACTAGCCCATGGGCATCACTAGTTGTATTGGTTAAGCAACGAAACCAAAAGATGCGATTTTGTATCGATTATAGAAAATTAAATACCGTAACTGTCAAAGACAATTATCCATTACCCCGAGTTGATGAACTTTTGGTTACTTTGAATGGATAATCTTGGTTCACGTCGTTAGACTTAGCCAGTGGATATTGGCAGGTCAAGATGTTTGAAGATGATAAAGAAAAGACTGCATTTATTTTACTATACAGACTTTAAGAGTTCAACGTTATGCCGTTTGGACTTATGAATGCCTCAGCTACGTTCCAGAGGTTAATGGATCAAATCTTCAGCGATATAAGTGGAAGATTTGTTGTCGTATATCTTGATGATCTTAACATTTTTTCTAGATTATTTGAAGAACACTTAGATCACTTGAAAGAAGTATTTCTATGATTGAAGCAAGCAGGTTTGAAAATTAAGCCCCAAAAGTAT